AAAAAAAAAAAAAAAAAAAAAAGCTGAGCGTGGTGGTCCATGCCTGTAATCCCAGCACTTAACAGGCTGAGGAAGGATTGCTACAAATTCTAGGCCAGCCTGGGCTACATAGGGAGTTCAAGGACAGCCTGTACTACAGAGCAAAACTGTCTCAAAAAACAAAAGCAAAACAAACAGAATTATCTCTAGTTGGGCAAGGTAGTGCACACCTATAATCCCAGCTACTTGGAAAGCTGAGGCAAGAGGATTTCAAATTATACACTAGCCTGAGCAACAGAGTGACTTAGCAAGACTTTGTCTCAAAATGAAAAAAACTAAAAAGGACTGGAAATGCAGCTCAGTGTGAAAGCCCAAAGTTCAAACTTCACTGCCACCAAAAAAAAAAAAAATTAGCTTTGGCTGTGGCGGCCATGGAGATGGGGACAGAAGGTGTCTCTCTTCTCTCTGGGTGGCTTTTTTTTTGGAGATAGGATCTTCCAATGTATTTCAGGCTAGCCTTGAACTCATGGCACTCCTCCTGCTGCTGCCTCTCAAGTCCTGGGCGTACTGGCACCATGCCTGGCTCCAGGTGGCTTTTGTCCCAGCTCCCGAGGGAATTTGGGGATTTCTGTGGTTACCTTCCGAAGCCTTTTCAACAGCAGTGGACTTTAGACCAAGGTGTTTGGATTCCGTTGTAATTTAGGATCTTTATGTTGGAGACCACTCCTTAAAGTGATTCGGAGAAGGGCTGGGATGTAGCTCAGCGGCACAGCGCCTGCCTGGCAAGTACAACATTGTGAGTTTGATTCCCAGTACAAAAAAAAAAAAAAAAAAATGATTAGGAGACAGAATGAAACATTTAATTTACCAGTCCTGGGCCTGTACCTGGAGGTCAGGTAGCCCTGGCAGGGAGACAGAAAGGCATTGTGGGACAGTGACTTGTTTGGGGTCCAGGACATTATCTAAACATTTTTCCCGAGACAGGGTCTCACTGTGTAGTTCAGGCTGGCCTTGAGCTCACTATGGAGCCCAGGCTGGCCTGGAACTTGCAGTCTCCTGCTTCCGCGTCCCCAATGCTGGAATTATAGGTGTGCAACACCACACCCAGCTTCCAGACAGATTTCTTGAGCGAAGTTTTGATCTGTGGGGTTTAAAGTCAGCAGGCAGCTCCAGGCTGGTCTGCACAGTGGAGTGGGGGTGGGTGAGGGGGCCAAGCCATCCTAGTCCAGCCTCCCCAAGTGGCTGGGTTCAGGAGGAAGGACAGAAGGCGGAGGTGTCTGGATGCGCCACACAGACGGGCTGGAGGCGGTGTGGGACGGAACCACGTCAGGGTGACAGCCCTGTGCCCCATGGAAAAGTCCAGCTTATATTCCACTCGGACACCAAGACAGCCGAGTTCTAGGCCCCCAACAGAGTTTTAACCTGCTTTTGCTCTTGCTGGCCAGACCTGGCTGAGCCAGGGTCTAATCCCGGCGGACCGTGTCATCATCTGGGACAAGGACAGGCCTCATTTCAACGTCGCCGCTCCAGAGCGGGCGTCCATAGCTCAAGGAAGGTCTTTGAGGTGCTTTTGCTGCACAGTAGCCCAGGACCAGCCTCGATGGGCCTTGATGTCACCTGCGGAGGCCGAGGTCGCCAGCGGGTGACTTCTTGCCAGCAAAAAGGAGGTGGGCGGAAAGAGCTCTGAGCCCTGCATCTGCAGAGCGGAGGGCTCTTGCTCCTTGCGAGCGCGCAGGAGGAAGCACCAAGGGCGGAGTGACAGCGAGGCCAGCCCAGCACAGGGACCCGGGTGGCACTTCTGACAACTGTGCCCTTGCGAAACTTTCGCCCACACACTCACATGGCGCTACGTGGAGAGTAACGTGCTCATGTACAGCATTTCGCCTTCGTACTCCGTGGTGCACAGCATGTTATATACAATCAATGTCACAGCGACACTGTCCGCGCGTGACGCGTCCACGCAATCACTCGACAAACCGCTGCTGCACGATCCGGAACCTCGGAGCCGAACCCCGACCGGAACAGACAGGACCCTCGTGGGCGCACAACACACCCGAGCCAGCCTCACTACAAGTCCCAGCAGCCCTGGGGAGAGGACGGGATGCAGCAGCCAGAGTACACAGAGACTACAAGTCCCGGCAAGCACGGCGCGGGGACTACGAGCCCCAGAACGCATCGCACAGCTTGCTCATGGCACTCTGGGATATGTAGTTATCGCGGGAGCTAGTACCTAAGTCACTGCACCTCAAAGAGGAAGCATGTTTCTCCGACGGCCCCAGGCAGCGACTTTTTTCGCGCTAGCAAAAAGTGCGGACACACGAAGGGTTTGTGAAAGCAGAGGAACCAACCCTCGGCGCGGAGTAAGGGAGCATGCGCATGCTCGCCGGAGTTCGCCGAGGAAAGCGCGCGCAGGCGGTGCCAAGCGCGGGCCCCGCCCCCGGCCCGGCGCCCTTTGTCCAGGGAGCCTGCGCGGAGGGCGGGGCTCGGGCCGTGGGGAGGTGCTCTCGGCGCCTGCGCAGAGCGGCGGCTTCTCTCGCGAGGACGGACGCCATTATCGCATCTCCCCGACAAACACCACGAGAATTCCGCAGCCCACACGGTAATTGCAGCTCCCGCAGCCGGTCGCGCCTCCACTCCCCCTTCCCGCGGGGCGAGAGCGAGAGCGAGAGCGAGATCTCCGTCGGCCCCCGCCCCGCCCCGCTGCGC